AATAAATAAATAAAATCTTTAAAAAAATAAATAAATAAAAGGATGGACTTTATGATATTTAAATTATATTTCAGTTGTGCTTATATAAAAAGATAAGTGGAATATATTTATGAATGCTATTTTTTTTAAAGATTTTATTTATTTATTTGACAGAGAGAGACACGGCAAGAGAGGGAACACCAGCAGGGGGAGTAGGAAAGGAGAAGCAGGCCTCCTGCAGAGCAGGGAGCCCAATGTGGGGCTCGATCCCAGGACCCTGGGATCATGACCTGAGCCGAAGGCAGACGCTTAACGACTGAGCCACCCAGGCGCCCCTTATGAATGCTGTTTAAAACATTTTTCGTTCCAACATATTCAATTTGTTGTATGTTTTTAATTAACACAATTAGCAAAAAAATATCTGTATGATATAACAATTTCATAATATATAATGGAAATTATACTAATAGATATTTTTAAATAACAGAAAAGTAGTCACAGACATTACTCACAGAAGTTTGTATGCACCATTTACCATCTGAAGTGACTGCCATGTGGCCACAAATTCAAGAGCTTACAAATTAATACACCCTCCTGTTATGAAATAATGTGATTCTCGAGAAAAGTTTTAAAATTTGGGACATTTGTATCATTTAAAGTCTTCTTTTTTTTAAATGAGAATTTTCATCTGATATCAATAGTGTAACTTAGACTTTTTGAAATTTTCATAAAATGCAACCACATTAGGTTTTTGTGGTTTTTAACCATCCACTCAACAAATATTTGAGGAGCTGAGTTCTGTGCTCAGGAACCATGTGTGCAGTAATAAAGAAAAAGACATAAAACAGTGGCTAATATTTATTAGATCCTAGCTCTGTGGTGCTACTATAGAAAGGTTAAGAAACTTGCTACATCCTGAGATCATAAATTGACTAAGCGGTTTCAGGCTTTTTTTTTTAATTAGGGTAAGATACACTTTTTAAAATTAATTATAGCATACATACAGAAGGCTGTAGAAATCCTAAAGTCACAGAGTTTTTCTAAAGTGAGCACCATTGTGTGAGCAGCATCTAATATTACTAGCAGTTCAGAAGCCCTCTTGTCCCCCCTTCCTGCTACCCCGTAAAAGTAGCCACTCTCGTGTCTTCTAACATTATGGATTAATCTTGCCTGATTTGAACTCTATATACAGTCTTAATGTAATTATTCTTTTGCCTTGTCTTCTTTTATCCAGCATTAGAATTGTAAGATTAATTTATGTTGTCTGTAGTTGTATATCATTCTCATTGTTCAGTAGTGTTCTGTTATCATAAATAGTTAAAATTTACTGATTTATTCTTCCGGTGATTGACACTGGAGTTGTTTCCAGTTTGAGATAATTATGAATATTGGTGTTGTCTTTGGGAAATAGAAGAATGCATTTTTGTGTGATTATATACCTAGAAGTGGAATTGCTGGATTATGGGGGCAGGGGATGTGCATCTCTGCAGCTTTTCCAAATTTTTTATTACATTCCCATGAGTAACGTATAAGTGTTCCAGTTGCTCCACATTCTTATCAATGCTCCCCATTTTCTTTGTCATTTTAGACATTCTACTGGGTGTGTAGTGTAGTGTCTCTTTTTTTTTTTAAGACCTCTTTCCTCTTTTTTTAAATATTAAGTGTACAGTTCATTAGTGTTATATATATGTTCACATTGTTGTGAAATAGAACCCCAGAATGTCATCTTTCAAACCTGAAACTTTATACCCATTAAATAACTCCATTTTCCCATAATCACAGCCACTGGTAACCACCATTCTGCTTTTATGTTTTATGAATTTGACTATGTTAGAGTAGTCATATAACTAGAATCATACATATTTGCTTTTTTTGTGACTGGCTTACTTCACTTAACATTATCTCCTTAAGGTTGACCCATGTTGTAGGATGTAACAGGATTTACTTCCTTTTTAAGTCTGAATAATACTCCACTATACATATATGCCACATTTTGTTTATCCGTTCATCTGTCAATGGACATTTGAGTTGTTTCCACTTCTTGGCTGTTGTGAATAGTGCTGCTATGAACATGCATACGCAAATAATTGTTTTAGGCCTTGCTTTCAACTCTTTTGGTTGTATACTCAGAAGTGGAATCATTGGATCACATGGCAGTTCTATTTTTAATTTTTTGAAGAACTTCCAGACTGTTTTCTATAGCAGTTGCACCAACATATGTGGTACTTTAAAATTTTTTTACTTTGCTACATGACTAGTAATGTGGAGCATATTTTCATATGTTCATCATCTGTTTGATATTCTCTTGTGTTGAGCCTATTCAATTTTTTGGCCAGTTTTCTTTTGTGTTTTTATTACTCACTTGGAGAAATTTCTTTATATATTTTGGGTAAAAATATTTTGTCAATTATATATATTGCCAATATTTCTCCCACTGTATTGCTTGCCTTTATAGCTTCTTAATCTATTGCTATTTAATGATTTTGATGAACAGAAGTTCTTAATCATAATGTAATCCAGGGTGTTTTAATATTTTATTTTTAAGTAATCTCTTCAACTAACATGAGGCTCGACCTTCCTACCTGAGATCAAGAGTCGCATGCTCTACCAATCACCCCCATAATCCAACTTCTTAACTCTTTATAATTATTAAGTTTGGTAATTTATTCTAAAATTGTTTTACCTGCTTCAAGGTCATGAAGATGTTTTCTTCCAAAAATTTACTGTTTTAACTTTCATATTTAGATCAACAATATAACTCAAGCTCATATTTTTCCCATATGGATATTACATAGTACCATTTATTGAAAAGACTACTTTTTATTGCAGTGTCAACTTTGTCATAAGTCTGATGCCATATACATACGCATCTCCTGCACTCTTTATTCTATTGAACTGTTTATGTGTCATTGCACCAATAGTAAACTATAATTACTATAGCTTTACAATAGATATTGATAATCTCGTAAATCACTTTGCCTTTGTTCATTTTCTTGGCCTTTCATCTTCCTTTCATTTCCATATAAGCTTTGGCACAAGTTTGTCAACTTCCACCCAAAACAAAATAAGCTCTGATAGGATTTTGATTGCAATTGCATGAAATCTAGAAATCCATTTGGGGAAAATTGACAACATTATAATAGTGTCTATTCCATGAACATGGTACTTCTCTCCATTTATTTAGGTCATCTTTAATTTCTTTTAATGTTTTTATAGTTTTCATAGGTCTTACACAGGTTTAATACTTGTCTTCCTCCATTTAGACTGCTATGAGAAAATACCAGACTGAGTGGCTTCTATACAACAGAAATTTATTTCTCACAATTCTGGAGTTTGGAAGTCTCAGATCAGGGTGCCAGCATGGTTGGGTGAGGGCCCTCTTCTCTTTGTGTTTTCACATGTTTAAAGGCATTAGGGAGTTCTATGGTGTCTATTTTATATGAAAACTAATCTCATTGATGAGAGCCTCCCCTTTATGACTTAATTATCTCCCAAAGGCCCTACCTCCTAATACCATCACAATTGGGATTCAGGATTTAATACATCTATTTTGGGTGGTCACAAATATCCATACCAAGGCAATACCTAAGGTGCTTATTGAACCTAGCTCTGAATTTAGAGACTCATTATGCTTAATTTTCTGGTGTTCACTAAAGGATATTTGGAAAAATCTGGGAAAAGCACAGATACCTAATAAATAGCATTTTAGCATTTCCCATACAAAAACTGGATCAATGTAACTATGTTCTTTGATAACTTAAAAAGTATCTGGAAAATTTTTGTTTGATACAATGTATATCATTTTTTAGCTTATTTGAAAGCGAATGTATTCTTATTTGGCTGTAAAAGGACATATAAATATAGAAAAAAATTTTAATATAAATAATTGTGTTTAGGGGGAAGGTCCTAAAGCCAACTCTACTCAAGGGATGCCTTGGTAGCAATGATTGTTAACCATCTGGAGTGACAGAAGAAAGTGATATTGGGTAACTAACATCTTAAGAAGTTTCATCTCAAGTTTATGTAATATTATAGCAACAAAAATGGAATCTTAATTATGCTGTTGGTTGCTCCGTTTTGGTCACAGGGGTGGGCACCTTTATCATTTACTGATTATGTACTGATTAATGTGGTCAGTGTCTTTGCTCCGTAAATTTGTGATATATGGAGGGAGTTTTAACCAGAATTGGTTGGTTTTATGTCTTGTCAACATTTTTATGTAATTCTTTTTGTAAGCACTGGGACCACTGGGCAATATTTTAAACACGTTTGAGGCCTTTTTAGCACCCCAGGGGTATGAGGCGGTGTAAGATAAATCAATCACTATTCAAAATTAATTGTTATATTTTACATTCACCATGTCAACTGAACCACCTTAATCTTATGATAATATGGGTATGATAAATCCTTATGGTAGCATGGGGAAAAAAATCACAGAAATTGCAGGAACATTGCTTTGTATATTAATTATTCTGTATAATAAAACTATTCACCCAAGGAAAAGATCCCTAACTTTGCGCAAATGCTAAATTTCAGTGCTGAAGTTCATTTTTGATATTGGGAATCCCTGGTTATTTGCATGTAGCTAGATTTGTCCCGATGTGGCATTTGTGGAAGAACAGAATAGTTAGGCTCTTTCCAGGAGATCCTGTGTTGTCTATTTTGCAATACTGTATCAACAGTGAAATAAAACAAACTGCTTTGGTCTACTTTTACAAATAACAACTACATACCACAGACTTCTGTTCTGCCTGTTGTTTGTTTAGTCAAGTAACCTGGGATACCCTGAGGAGTTGTGTGGATGCAGCTAGTCAGAAAACTGAATGTCCTAGAGGCTTCAACCCTTTGAGAAATAGTCATGTTTAAAAAGACCTAAAATGCAAGGACACAGAGCTTTAAAGACGATATCCATTGCACTCAACTGTAGGTGTTTTCTGTTCTATAAATAAATGCATTATGCTTTTCCAGGTTTTAAGAAGAGGCAGCGATGAAGAGAAAGTTCTTTGTTTGGTTCGGCAACGGACAGGCCATCACTGTCCAACGGCTGTGATGGTGGTGCTTATCATGGTATGGGACGGCATTCCTCTCCCCATGGCTGACAGATTGTACACGGAGCTTACTGAAAACCTAAAGTCATACAATGGTCATCCCACAGACCGAAGATGCACGCTCAATGAAAAGTAATCAAATCTGTTTTGTACTGCTTTCCCATTCACACCTCTATCATGTAATATTAAATAGTTCATTAACTACCAGTTATGCATATTATAGAATTTTAGGTATTCTGAAACTAAAGAATGAACTTTTTTTTTTTTTTTTGGTCAAAAAAGAGAGACTTCGTTTCATAGAGAGTTGAGACCATTATAGGGTTGGTTGGTTGCTTGGTTTGTAATATCTACACCCAGCTCACCAACCCCAGATCAAACCCTGAGATCAAGAGTCGCATGCTCCTCTGACTGAGCCAACCAGGTGCCCTTAGAGAGTATTCTTTTTCTGCTTCCCTCTTTGATGCCTGATCCCACTCACCCATAGAGTCTGGAGGAGAGGGATTTTTTCCAGAAAGGAAAAGCTCCTCCATAGAGAATTGTACTATATTCTCAGCAATGTAAGAGAGTACCTGTTTTCCTACTGTTTTGCCAGGAATATAACGTCAAACTTGAGGTTTTGCCCTTTTAGTAGGTGGTAAATGGCATTTTTCATGTTATGAATGAGTTTTTTCATATGGTTAAGAGTCATTTGCCTTTTTGGGTGGGGGTAGTTATTGCTCAACTACGTGTTAATTGTTTTAGCTCGTTTCTAAAGGATTGCTTCTTTCATGTATCGGGGTGCTTAAGACTTTGTTATATAATGTCTAAACGGTTTTGCCAGTTTGATACTTTTCTTTTTACTTCTGCTATGTTATCTTTTGCGTTTTCCTTTTATTATTATTATTATTTTTTATTTCCTAAGTAATCTCTACACCCATGGGGCTCGAACTTACAACCCCAAGATCAAGAGGCACATTATCCAGCAACTGAGCCAGCCAGGTGCCCCATCCCCTTTCCTTTTTAATATAATTAATGATATCTATTTTTTCTTTTGTGTCTGAATTTTAACTGGTATTTAAGAACATTTTTCTCTCTTTCAAGTTATACAGTAATTCACCCATATTTTCTTTTAGTTCTTGTTGAAATTGTAAATTTTTAAAACGTGAATCTGCGATGTACTTAAAATTTATGCTAGTTAATAGTGGGAGGAGGAGATCCATTTCTGTCCTCTTTACCATTTAAGAAAACACCAGTTACAAGAGAGCATTTCTTTCCCCTTGATTTGAAATGCCACTTTAACTGTAAGCAAAAATTACATATGAGACAGAGTCTTCTCTTGTATTTAAAATTTATTCATTGTCCTGGCTTTTCAGGTACTAGTACCACATTCTTTTTTAATTATAGAGATTTTATAATGTATTTTAGTATTTGGTAGGGATAGCTCACCTTACTCGCTCTTTTTCAAAGCTTTCTATTATTCTTTTCTGTTTGTGCTTCCAAATAAACTTTAAAATGAATTTGTCTAGGGCGCCTGGGTGGCTCAGTTGGTTAAGCGACTGCCTTCGGCTCAGGTCATGATCCTGGAGTCCCGGGATCGAGTCCCGCATCGGGCTCCCTGCTCA